ACAAAAAATGTACATTGTATACCCATGCAACGTGTGTCCATTCTGCACACATGAAAAAACTATTGAAAAGTCGTCCAACGATACTGAATGTCTTGTTCGTTTAGACGATGGCAATATAGATCGTGTAGTGAAATTTGTGCAGCCTTCGGAAATCGAAGCATTGAACATTTATACAGATCACTGCATAATCAATTGTTATTACAGAACAATAGGTGGTGACGACGCCGATGTAGCAATATGTACAGATTGCATGGCTTCTCCGCCGAATTACGAGTATTCGAAGAATTCTTTGCGGAATATCGGCGCTGAAGGAATGTATCTCATCAGGAAGCTCCAAGGCGAGATTTCTATGCGGAATATTGGCGCTGAAGGAATGTATCTCGTCAGAAAGCACCGAGACTCGTCTCACTATACACCAGGTATCGACCAGTGCTTGATATGCGAAGGTACGATGTACACTGTATTTCCACGCAGCGTGTGCCCACTCTGCACACATTGAAAAACTATTCAGTGCTCCGTGGAAGAGTGTGACGTGATTTAAAGACATGGAAAACCACGAGCGAGTGGAACGCGAACTGCTGGAGCAGTGCGACCAGGTCGCTACTCTGGCAGGGTGTTTCGCGTGGCTGCAACGATGCGACGAGTGCATCGAGCAGCTGGAAGAACTGTGCCGTACCAAGCGTCCACGCCTCGCCGTCGGACAGAGACAATCCGCGGTGGCGAGGATCGCGCGACTCGTGGGTGCAAAATCGCAATTAGAGCGACGTTTCGTGCACGTTGGTGGCGAGTACGCGGGTAGCGGGTACGCGAGTGGCAACGAGCGATCTCTCGTATGGCGAGAGATCGAAGCCGCGTTCGAGAGACGTATAGTGACGGGCGCGGTGATAAACTATAATCATATCGAGCCTCGCCGATTTCTCGAAGACGCTGGTGATATAGTGCTAGAGCGAGTGCGGGACGCTGTGGAAAGACACGGCAGTGCAAAAGTGAACACAGCGTTCAACGGCGAGTTCGCGACAAAAGACAAACGCGCCAGTAAGAGTATAATTACTAAGAACAGTGAGATTTATCGGTGCACCGATATACGCGAGTGGTACGTGACGCGCGTCATCGAGCCCACATTAACGTCGCTGGAAGAGTTTCAGGAACGTGACAGTGGGTGGGCATTGTCGCGAATCCACAACTTGATTGTTAACGTGAACAAACTGAATCCCATGCGCGCGGGATGTTACGTTGAGGTGCCGCGGGAAATTGTGATGAAACGAGCGGTGATCAGTGTGCGTACAACGGACAACGCGTGCTTCGCGTGGGCGGTGGTTGCCGCTCTGTACCCGGCTGAAGAACATGTGTATCGGGAATCGTCGTACCCGCATTACAGTACTGTACTAAATTTTGAGGGTATCGAATTTCCAATAACATTAAAAGACGTTCTGAAATTCGAACGATTGAACGCGGTGTCGATCAACGTGTACGGCATCGAGAACAAGCAGATCCTTCCTCTACGACTCACAGGGGACAAGAGGGACAAGCACGTGAACGTGCTGTATCTACAAGATCCACGCAACGATGGTGTAGACCACTTTGCGAGGATAAAAGATCTGTCCCGTCTCGTGAGATCGCAACTTACTGGGAAAAAGAACAAGAAATATTTCTGTGACCGGTAAGTATAATAAGAAAAAACAAGAAAAAA